GGTCAGTACACACACACACACACACACACACACACACACACACACACACACACACACACACACACACACACACACACACACAGCATACTGAGCGCAGACTCCTGGTGTGTGCACGCTGAGGTGGGGTCAGAGGTCAGCTGTTCTTCAATGTCCGTGTGTCCGCAGGTTTCTCGGTGGACTCGGCCACAGCACTGGTCAATAAGTCTGAGCTGACGGTGGTGGCCGGAGCTCCGCGGGCCAATCACAGTGGGGCGGTGGTGCTGCTGCGGCGGGACGGAGCACACCAGCTGGTACCCAAACACGTGCTGTGGGGAGAGGAGCTGGCGTCCTCATTCGGGTACTCTGTGGCCACGGCAGACCTCAACAGTGACGGGTGAGACCGGGCGCTGTTCTGTAAACCCCTTCATATCAATGGCTTGTGCTGAAGAGCACCATGGACAGCTCACAGTGTGATTATTCTACTGCATTGTGTTGATTATATGTTAGAATTGAGTTTGAGTTTTAATTATGGTTAATGATTTATTATTATCAGTGTGTGCACTCACAATAACTGCAGGATTTCTCCTCAGCTGGACAGATCTGGTCGTTGGAGCTCCAAACTTCTTCGACCGCAAGGCAGAGATCGGCGGGGCGGTGTACGTGTTCCTGAACCCGGCCAGCCACTGGGCCAGAGCCCGACCCATCCGCCTAAATGGGACATACGACTCCATGTTCGGGATGACGGTCAGCAGCGCCGGAGATCTGGACCAGGACGGTTATGAAGGTGAAAACACACACACACACACACACACACACACACACACACACACACACACACACACACACACACACACACAGGCACAGTTCTCATCTCGTGTGTAACGAGGCCGTGTGAGGGTGATGGCTCCGTCTGTTGGCTGTGGTTTACAGGTTATCATAATGTTATTCTACACCTCTGCTGAATGCTTGATTCTGATTGGCTGATGAGCGTTTTAAGGTGTGCCGTTATTTCCAGATAAACCCACAGCTGAAGTAGCTCAGAGTGCTCTGATTGGCCAGTGGAGCTGGAGTGCTGTGATTGGTTGGTTGTGGACACGCCCTTGCTGTTCTGCTCTGGTGCCGTCTTCAAATGAATAATGCACAGGTTAGTGTATACTCCATCAGCTCAGAGCAGTGTTTAGTGTCTGATGGCTGTGTTTGTGTCCAGTGTGTGTGTATAAAGCACATCCAGCTGGTTGTTATCTCAGAATAACCCCTTCAGTCCTGTACAGCAGTGCTGCTGATGACCCTGTCCGGCTTTATTCTGAGAGAACAGCCTGCTGGATCTGCTTCATCTCTGACATGTCAGTATTGTACACTGGGTGTGTTTAGTCCAGCTGTAGATCAGTGTTCTCCGTCACACACTAAAGGGAAATAACCATCATGAGCGCCTCAGACGGCCTGTTCAGCGAGCTCTAATCAACACTGATGAGTGTAAAAGCGCTCTGACCAAACCCCGGGCTGTCCTGCGCAGTTCTGCTGGGTGAGGTCGATGTACTGCGGCTGGATGGAGATCTCCCGCAGCACGTGGATGACCGGCCGAGACCTGCGGAAGCACACAGAAGATCAGACTCCAGCACACCTGTGTTCACCTGCTGATCCAGGGTCAGCTCTCACCTGTACAGCACCACCTGGTCACTCAGAGAGCCCACCGCCAGATCCGGGTACAAATTACCATCCACATCCAGTCCTGCAGATATGGAGTAACCGAAGCGCTGCACGCCTGCATTAAGCCCATCCAGAACCTGCACACACACACACACACACACACACACACACACACACACGCACACACACACACACACACGCACGCGCACGCACACTTAATAAATCAGTGATCAAGCTGGAGTGTTTGTTACTGTATGCTAAGTGTGTGTGTGTGTGTGTGTGTGTGTGTGTGTGTGTGTGTGTGTTTACCTGAGAGGGTTTGGTATCGATGCCAGATGATGAGCCGCGGTAAATAAACACTTTTCCGTCTCCATCAAACGGGGCTCCAACAGCGATGTCTGTAAACACACACACACACACACACACACACACACACACACACACAGAACAACACGTCATAACATATACAGCACACAGCAGAAGTGTGGAGACCCCTGAGCAGAACCGCACCAGTCTGTCATGATGTTTTACATTTACTGTGTGTGTGTGTGTGTGTGTGTGTGTGTGTGTGTGTGTGTGTGTGTGTGTGTGTGAGA